TATAGATTTTGACAGAACCCCACTGCTCTCAATGTGCTCCTTAGGTGTAACAGTCTGAACAAGAGTAGCCAGACGGTCAGCAGCAACGCCGCAGCAGTTATGCTTCTAACAGTAACTAAGAATTTGGTTAGACCTGTTGCTCACCTTTTCTCCCTGCTGTCGAGTAATCTCTCGATCAACTTCACAGTCCAGTTTATTTCCAACTAATAGAAGCTCTGCATCTTCTGAAGCATACTGCAATTAAAACATTTTTAATTAACTAAACCGAGGAACGTAAGATTTTGTAACCCAAACACAATATTAAAAAAGGACAATTCCTCTACTAAGCAAGGAACCACAACTACATGGTTTATAAGTAAGCGTTCTTCCCAAACATTATTTCAAAAATTTAAACTTCAATTTTTAAATTCCATTTTAAAACCATTACTTGAGAACCAGCTGTTCTAGTATATCTCAGAATGAACATAATGACCTTATTTCACAGACAGGAAATAAAACTTTTTTCTCCCCTCTGTGCACAGGTAATGTTACAGATTTCCACCGACACTTCTAACTGGGACAATTCTAGTTCAAGGATGCCTGAATGGACAACCATTGTGCAACAAAAACACATTAATGTTAAATCCTGGCTAAAAGAATCCAGTGAAAATTAGTTAGCATTAGTTTAATAATCCTATATCAATGCTATTATAAGTCTTAGAGTACCTTTGAGGAAAAAAAAATGCTTCTTAAAAAAACACATAAAAAGAAAACACTTAAGGCCTACCTTATCGATCATTTTCATCCATTTTGGTAAATCGTCAAATGTTTCCTTCTTGGTGATATCATACACCAAAATAATTCCCTTGGCACTTCTGTAATAAGCTGAGGTAATGCTGTTGAATCTCTCCTGACCTGCTGTGTCCCTAAGAAGCAGCAGCAAACATTGGCACAAATATTTCACCAACTTGCACAGCACAGAATAACTTTGTTTACATTTTAACAAAACCACCCCCACACTCATTAGACACTCTATATCGAACATTTCCTTTTATGTGTGTGAATTTCAGGCAAAAAAAAAATAAATAGAGCAGTACTTTCAATCATAAAAAGTTTTCGTATCAGGATTACATATCCTGTCCTAGCTTCACCAAGAAAGGCCACCAAACACGTGTCTACATGGGTCTGAGAATGAAGCTGTCCAATGAAAACGTCCCAGCAGATGAAGCTGGTTCTGTGTCGTTGGGGTTTGGTTGTTGGTTTGGTTTTTTTTTTAAAGAGCCCTAAAAAAATGAAAAAAAGAAATGGATACGTGCTTATCAAACACAGCTGGACACCCAGCTATAAAATGAGTAATGCACTGATCATTATGATTCGAGCTTTGGGAGCCTTTCTGGATCAACCACAGCAATTCAGCCACGGTTCTAAAACTAATGCAGAAGCTAGTGGCAGAAGTGAATGAGAAGAGTGAGCAATCACTATGTGGTATGGCTTTTGAAAGTAGATACCTGGCTCTCATGCTTGCATCTACTAATCTGAGGTGTCCAAATAACATTTCCATTCTCACTTTCAGCATTGTATGTATTTCAGACAGGGTGCATTTACACTGGAGACTATCTTCCAGCAATGACACCTTGTCACCCATACTAGCTATGGCTTATATTCCAAAGTAGATGGGACAGAAGGGTTATTTTTTACAGCACCATGAAAACCTGTGAACTGCTTTTAAATAGATCTTCAAGCCTTCTTATGGAAGATTTTTGGCAGTTATACTAAAAAAATAGCTGGTGCATACCCTAAGTCTTAAAATGTGACTGGTATCGCAAGTGGAAAGTTATACGGTGCTCCAAAGCGACCAAGCATTTGCTGCTTGAGTTCAGCCCCCAGAGCCAATGGATTATTTTGAAATTTTACTGTTAGAGCAAGTCAAAAGCTGGACCAAAATCAAGAGTGGATGAAGGAAAATGTGTGCATGTGTGTTGGGAATCAGAAGTTCAAAAGGAACTCTCTTCAACAGTCACATTTTAGACAAGAGGAGGAGGATGATGAATTTGGGAATGAGATTAACGATGGAGACCCGAAACACTTGTTACCAAAAAAAAAAGTCATGTTCACAAAATGCCACATTGATTGTCCTGATGAATTAATTCTTTTAAAGTCTATGCACAACAAGCAGTAGAATAAACTACCACAAACAGATCTTGCCCTTCACAAAATCTTTAAGAATTTCAACTGAGCAGGTTTAAAAGTGAAGTACTTCACTTTGTCCTGAAATTGCCACAAGTGTACTTGGTAGCAACAAATCTTTGCTAGTGATTTCACAAAGTAAAGTAGTGTGCACTATAAAAAGATTTGAAACCTCTGCTTTGTAGCCGTGGGAAAATATTGACTGATACTTCACTGCAAGCCAAAGGCATTGCAATAAGGGGCAGAAAAGAACAAATTCCTATCGCATCCATTTTTATTTTATCTTTATTCAAATCCCATTCTCAGAACTTCAGAACTCAGAACTTCAGAATCACATTCATACAAACCTGTGGGACCCTACAGAAGGTGAAAACAGGTAGCCTGTTTCAATAAGGTCAAGCTCTAGTAGTATTTCAGACCAGTTTTAGATGGTCAATTGGTTGCTTTCTTATCACTAATGCGGCATTTTTATTAAAGCAATACAAGTTCTGGCAGCTGAAATTACGTAAGTATCACTCAGAGCAAGTAACTCTACTTTCTCTTCCATTACTTCTTTGCTATGGTCAGATTTATTTTTTGAAAGGTCCTTTGGACGTTCACTTCATGAAAAATTTAAAAAATCTGGTATGAACCGTTGATTTTCCACATATGGATAACATTGCTTTAGTGCTTATGAACAGACTTCTCAGAATTATGACCTTGTAGAGCAGCCCCTGCCATCTGCTGCTCATCTAGCCTACTGATCAAGCCTATTAAGGATGGGATCCCTTCAGTTCCATCATTCTGAGCAGACATAATTAGATGGCAGGTGGAAGGGCATACCTGATGTGGAAGAATGCATCAATTCTAGCTTTGGCCAGAATAATGGGAAAAGTTGCCTTTTTTTTTTTATTTTTTTTTTTTTTGCTGGCTGGTCTTCCCCCCCATCCCTGTGCCCCTACCAGAACACAGAAATAAAGGGGCTATTTCAGAGTCACCTGGCTGTGCCTTCAGGTCAGTACCAAGGACCTTTAGCAAACTCCATCTCAGAGGGGCTACGGGGGTACCAGATGACTCAGTTCATACACTAGAAAAACAGAGGGGAAATAAACACACTAATGTTCAACTACCTTCCCTGAAGACAGTCATCAACTCACTGGATAAGCCTAGGGGTAGGTGATGGAGGCAACTACGCAACACTTTGCCACCCCAGCTATCTCCAACTCCCCATTTCTCCCAGCCTGCTGAGTGCTGTATCTCCAAGTCTACCTGGTACTACCAGCCTCCCCTTGCCCCGCAACACCCTCAGGCTCTTTAAAAGTTTCTAATATTTCCAGGCTGCTGCTCCTCTCTGCTGCTGTATCGTCAGGCTCATGCCCTCCCCTTTCTGTAGCTCAGTCACCCAAATACCACACAGCTTGTAGTCTGGCTTGCTGGCTCTTCAAGAGACACCTTGTGCTGTGGCCAGTTGAAAACACCCATGGACAGCCTGGCTGCCCACTACATGTTAAATGGCCAGATGGCCACTGACTGGCACCTGCCAGTCACGCTAATTACAGTGGATTCTGGCTGACTTTCTTTGCTTTGCTTTAAGTCATCGACTTCCCTACGCTTCACAAAACCAACGCCTCTCCTGCTGCAGCGAGTTTAAGTGAAACCAATCAACAGGTTTCTGACTGTAAGCATGATACTCTAATCCTTGTTTCCTTTGAAAAGCAGAAGAAAGTAAGCTGAATTTGCAGTCTCTAACACTGCATTGCATTGTACTAGCCTTCAAATAGTAAGGTGAAAATTGGAAAACTACTTCTGCAGTAAGTGTTTAGAATGCAACCCCAAGCTACCTAAACAAGCTGCAGTTTGAAGAGTATCAAGCTGATCTTTCACATGGAAAATCTCATCTTTTACCAAGTGCTAACTTATTTTTTATTAAGATGTGCAGTAAATTCTTCCAATATTGAGGAAAAAGTGACAACCCCTAATGCAGAGCTAATATTAAAAGCATATCCAACGTAAAATGCCTTCCTTTCATGTGCGGTGCTGGAGTGATTAAGTTTGTTATCCTGCTTTCATCGATGCATTACACTCCTGCAGCTGGAGTATTTTAGCAAGGATAATTACTGAAGTGGAAAGCTGGAAGAAGAGATGAGCCTTATTTAACTGGGCTAACAGTATGCAACTTCATGAATTTCATAAGCGATACTCAGTGCTGCTAGTTCTTCATTTGCTCTGGTTAGAATCAACATAACAGAATAAGTCAGTTCAATTTAAGTCAAACTCCAGAAGTCCAAATAATAATAAATTACTACAACTTGATCAATGATTTGGCATCACTGAAAAAAATACAACAGATTACTCCTTTTTGAATGCTAAAAGCAGTTTGCTTTTATTGATTTTTTTTCAAGAAATTGTTCTAATGGTAAAACACTGGTATTTCTAAATTGTGAACTAGACGTCACTCCAAAAATACCAACAAACATTACACCAAACAATAGCAAATAAAAAACCCCCCACAAAGCCCATTTTCAAGTGTTGACTTGTCATATTCTCACTATTCCAGACTGCATAGAATACAATACAAATACAGTTGATCTTAATTAAAATAGGTTTGGATAGTTTTTGTTTTGCATAAATGTTCTCTGTCTATCTAAAACAGTTGCTTGAAACAAACACATAGACAGACTTAAAACTGCCTTTGGCTCGGAAGTTAAATTAATTTTTTTATGAGTGGTGATGTGAAGTGGCAATAAGAAGGAAAATATTTTTAAACATAAGTAAAAATTTAACACTAATTTAAATTTTCACATGCTATGTGCTTTTATGGAACCTACAGGCGATATTTTTTAAAATGTTTTTAAGTAGTTTTAAGAGATTAATTCTACTTGTCAAGCTGAGCTTTTTCTTCCCATAAAACCCAAAAATATATTTAAAATCTTTTGTTATATGAAATAATTCATTTCAGAGGTACCGAACAGAAGGAACTACGTTCAGTTATATTCCAGGACAGGTAACCTTTTCCTCAGACTACTCCTCACCCCAGAGATTTTCCAAGACAACAACTGGCCGTTAGAAAACGCTGAGCTGGCAGAATGTGAACTTTTTATAAGAAAGCACCAATTTAAACAACCTTCAGAAGCCAATTGGACTGTTTTCTTGCCAGGGCACTGGCTTCCTTGGGCATCAAGATACCAGAGAGCCCCTTTGGCTGGCCAGCAGGGAACTGGGCACAGTGGCAGGGCCCTACAGCTGCCAGTGACCAGCTCCTTTCGGAGAGGAAAGCCAGAAGTGACCACTGCCTGTGCCAGCCGGGTGCCCGCAACACTCGGGCGAGAGGGCACACTCAGACGCCCCGCTGTCCTACTGAGCAACTCCCAGCACACCCACGCTTCAAAGCATGAAAGTGGGGTTCCTCTTATTTGGTTTTGTTTTCAAGCTTTGAAAAAGCACTGACTCACAGGCGCTCGGATTCACTTGGACCCTTACGCTACCCAGTAGTTGCGGTTACTTCACCCCTCGGCCCGAGCTGCACGCATGCATGGCTTCTCACAGAACATACGAGCTTGCTTCAGCCAAGAACTGCACTGCAGCAGCAGATTCACTGTTGTCTACTACTTCTGGCAGCCCAAGGGGCACTGCTAGTGTTCCAGGTAGCACAGAGAAGATGGGCACCACTCTGCACCCTCGGTGCTGCTCTATTCATTTCATAATCTAAGGAGCAGGAGTTTTTTTTCCCTGACTGAAAACCTGGGAAATGGGGGAAGAAGTGCTGTGTGTGAGGTAGCAGGGACCAGATAGAACAGGTAAGCTAGAGGCGAGAGCAGACGCCCCTGCGATCCTTAGCACACAGTATTCCAGCGTGAAAGGAATATGGCAGACAAGTCCAATTAGTACACTACCCTACTAACACTCTACTAACAGCAGCAGGTGTGAAAGCTGCTTTCAGAAGGACATCTTGCACACCCAATTGCTTGATATATTCAATGCAGTACTACTGGTTTTTTATAAATTGAAGCAGTAGAGCTCTGCGGAGAACACTCAGCTGATAGGGTGGTCAGTGGAGAGACTGGTCAAGTGACCATAAAAATACCGAAGTTGAACAGTTTGAAAAAAACCCCCAAACAACAGGTTTTGGTTGATTTTTGAAGTAGAATCATCAAATGACTTAAAAAAAAAAAAAAAAAAAGTCAAACTTTGATGCTTCGAAACATAACTTTAGTCATCTGAAGAAAATAGATAAGCATAAACTTTAAAAATTATCTGTTTGCCAAATAAAACAGGGTTTTTTTAGTGAAGTTACTGTAATCATTGTACTTAAGACTATCATGAAGTAGAAGGCAACCTTAATTCTGTCTCTGTAGGCATGAAAGCAGACTGACTTAGGATCAGCCACACAGCTTAAGTCTGTATTTCTAAAATTCCAAGTGTTTGACTTGTTCCTCTTTTAATCTAACAACGGTACAATAAAGAGCTGAGGGAACTGGGGTTGTTTAGCCTGGAGAAAAGGAAGCTGAGGGGAGACCTTATCGCCCTCTGCAACTACTTGGAAGAAGGTTGTAGCCAGGGGGGTGTTGGTCTCTTCTGCCAAGTAACAGGCGATAGGATGAGGGAAAATGGCCTCAAATTGCACCAGGGGAGGTTTACATTGGACATTAGGAAAAATTTCTTTACCGAGAGGGTTGTCAAGCACTGGAACGGGCTGCCCAGGGAAGCGGTTGAGTCCCCATCCCTGGAGGTATTTAAAAAATGTGGTGCGTGGGGACGTGGTTTAGTGGTGGACTTGGTAGTCCTGGGTTTATGGTTGGACTTAATGATCTTTTCCAATCTAAATGATCCTATGATTCTGTGATTTTTATGATAATAAGATTTTATAAATAGGCCCAACAACATACACAACATTATTCAGGATAAATTAGCAAAAGGAGTATTTATGTAATTGCTTTTCCAGAAAAACAGAGGTATGCCAAGACAGTTTTAAGGATTAAGTGTAAGAACAGCATTTTAACAGCCACTATTGGGGAGCAAGTGACACTTAGGAGCTGGATGTTGTTGTGTTCATGGATTTTCTCATATTTTAAAATATTATCTCTTTACATTGTGTTTTCTCCATCATTTTAGCAGGGCTTCACACAGGAGTAATCGTCACATTTTAGCAACCTCTCAATTTTTAGTTTTAAAAGTTTCCTATATCCTACTAGCATATTCTCAATATGTGGAAAATAATGGTTTAAACATCTCTTTTCCAACAAAAAACCTCTTCTATAAAGTATTTATTCAACATGAAGAAATTGTTTGACAAGCTTAGCACATTCAGGAATTCATATCAGGCGGACAGTAGCATCTCCACATGAGAATTTTTTGTTACCTCTGTCAGCTCCAGCAGACCCTGGCTAACAATTGCTGGCTCAACTGCCAGCCTTGTGGTCATAGGTTTCCAAACAGGGACAGATGACGGATGAAGACATGCCACTAACATTCAAGTGTTAGGTGACTGGTGATACCAAAGATGAAGCAGCAGTTAACTCAGAGGGAAGCAAGACAGACACATGGTGTGACAAACAGAGTTGATGGTGACCTGCCAAGAGGAGTTAGTAAGCTGAAATCACTGCGTCCACGTAGTTAATCAGGAGAGACCACCAGAATACCCCAAAAGTGTAACAATGAGTATATTTAGAGCTTTTTTTCCCCCCCTCTATGGACTGTTAGCAGCTTTAACAGCTTAACTACAATGCCAGTTATGCATCACGCACTGTTAATAAACCAAAGCTAAGCTTCTACATAGTAGTATATAAGATTAATGTATAGAACATAGCTGGTTTATTCTCTCATAACAATGTTTATGTATTGCACTACTCTGCAAAACAAAGGAGCTATTAAGCACAATAATTTCTAAACAATAAAAACTGTATTAACTGTTGACATGGAGAATCATTATCAGGAAACATGTAACCTACTTCAGAAAGGAAAAGCTTAGCTCAGACTTTGATGTTTCTGGAGCAGGACATTGGTATCAGTTAAGGTATAGAGTCTTACTTGTATGGGATCGTTTTACTTCTCAGTGCTGTTTAGAGTGACTATAATTTACTTAGTCTTGAATGCCCTTCACTTTAAAGTTATTTAATATACTGCCAAAGAAACAGCACTGGCTATAACCAAGTTTTAGGAAAACAGTTTAGAAAACACTTTACAGTTGTTTTATAATTGCTGTTATAATGAAGGTCAGCTTGAAACAGTCTAGAAAAGAAAAAAAAAAGTGTACTTTCTCTAGTGTCTATTTAACTTAGTCACTGTTTGTTGTTTGCAGAACTCCTATTTCTTGTGTAGGTGATACTCTTCTACGAAAAGGGGCTTGAGACCTCCGTGATGCATTAACATTTCAGTAATTACATTCATGTCCTATTTCTAACTTTATCTTTCCTTCTCCTCCTTTATTCTCACAAAAATCTAAGAGCTATTTGGTTTTGCTTAAGTCTTGTGGGAATGGAGAAGAGGAGGAATAGGGTAAGAGCTAAACCAGCTTAAAACAGTTAATAATATTAGACAAGCATATTAATTCATGCTAGAACATAAAAATTAAAACATACTGCTGGTTGCACGTTTGTTTTACTTACCAGATTTGTAATCTAATTTTCTTTCCTCTTAGCTCTACTGTTTTGATTTTAAAATCAACACCTATAAATAAAATACAGTAAACAGAAAAGGAGGAATAAGAAGCAAAAGTAATGAGGGTGTAATTATTATTTTCTTGATTTTTTTTTTTTTAATATATATCAACTTGTAACAGTCTGAACAAGCAGAAGGGTTTGCACCACTACGGGTCACCTCTGGAACACCATGGGGATTTGACAAACCACTCTATAGTCTGTGAGCCATCCAATTTGGCAGCACGACAACATAAACCTTCCGCTTTGTGCAACACTTCCAGCAGCAGGTAAACCCGACATAACAGTAAAACAACAGGCACAGTATGTTTGCTTCTCCCCTATTCACCTTGACTGTCAAGGACAAGCCTGCTCTACTTCCAGCTGGCACAGGTGCCCTGGAGGCATGGGGTGAAACCAATCCCTCCACATCAGTTTTGCTGTCTGTGAAGCAGGAGCAATACACATCTGATTTCCAGGCTGGATGCTCACCCCGTGTAAAGCATGTTAGTAGAAGTGCTGAAATTGTGGTTGTTTATGAAGAAGTTTATCAGCACCATCATACTTAATTCCTGCAAATAGTTATTAGCAAACTGCTTAGATTTAGAGAGGGTATTTGACTTTTAAAATTTCTTTTATACCTGTGTGGTACTTTTATCCATCATCTCAAAACTCCGGCCACATTTTGAATGCATGCTATGTATCAAAGACAGAACCGTGAAGGCTTTGTTATAGAGAAAGATTTTACTTCTACAAAATAAAAAAATAAAAAAATGCTGGCAATCAACACGTAAGACATACTATGGTCAAACAATACCTAGACACAAGAGATTACCACCTCTACTACAGGAATATTTCAAGTATAAATGTCCTAGAATATCATAGCATTTGTAGATGGTGAACCTATTAATTTTAGTATACATCTGTATGAAGATTTTTGCTTCCGTTCTTCCTTCTGAACACCATCTCTCCTAACAGTACAAAATCAAAAAGGGGGAAATAAAAAGACAAGAGAACATGGTTCAGACTAGTACACTTAAACTCACACAGAAGTGTAGAAGTATAGTGTGTTGGAAACACTTTTGCTATTTCACATACAACTGTATACCAAGGATAGGGATGAAAATGAAGAGGGAAAAAAAAATTATTTTCTCTAACAAAACCTACACATCTTCCTAACACCTCCTCTTGGTAAAAGCTGAGTGTCCCTGCTGGTGCTGTTAGAGTCAAGGCTGGATTGTAAATTTGACAGAAAGGACTGAACTTGCCCTTATGCAAAGCTTTTCAAAACTCCTGAAAATTTAGGTAGGAGAAAAAAAAAAAGTGCATTTTACATCCTGAAAACCAGTTACACCTTGTTGACTTGGCATTTATTTCAAAGTGCTTTAAAAGATAATTATGTCTGTAAAGTTGTTGGCATGAGATAATAAAATGGACTGTTTTAAAAAACTAGATACACTTTATTAATTGAAATACAAAGGTTACACTCAATTCTATTTTTAGTTTGCAAAGCAGGTTGCCACTGTTCAGCTAAACTAAATAAATGGAAGGATCACTGATCTTCATTCTCCTAAACAAAAATCCCTTCAAACAGCTTGCAGTTGCACATTATGTAGTGATAAAAGTATTGGTTATCACCATGACATTTGTCCTCTTTCTCCATGTCCTTAGAAGTGTCTAGCACACTTACGCACCAATTCTCAGAGAGCTATTCCGGAGATACGATGCTTATACTTCACTTACCAAAGTGTGTCCCATTCAAACCCTAGTAGGGTTCTCAGGCAATACAGGAGCTTAAGCGTTAAACTGATTTGTACTACACAGTCTATAATTTTAATGGCAATTTTCAAGTATTCATATGCAAATTGAGAACAAATATTAGAATTATTAAAATCTCAGAGCAGTTATTAATCCTGACTTTAAGAAATGTTTTTCTACATTTTTGAAAAAACACCATCTGTGTTAGTGTGAAAGCAGAAGAAAGTGAAACGATTCAGCTATGCTCTGCTATCCAAAATGTGGGAAATATGAATTCTTGTAATAACTGCTTTTCTATTAATGAGTTGGGGTTTTTTTTAATAGAAACGCATCCATTTCTACTGCTAAAAAGACTTTTCTCTATATAAATGCACCTAAACTATAAAATGCAATTGTCTTAATGGTCACAGCTTTGTCTACAACAAGACAGCAACTTTACTTGCTAAGGAGATAATCAGTATTAACTGAAATTGCTCCAAACCTCTCCCTCCTTCAACGAAGTTTGATTATAATTGCCCACACGTGTCTCAACCCCAATTCCCTATCCTGACGTTATCTCACACACAACATACTATACAATTTGCCCTTCATCTGAGAACTCAGGTTAAAAAAAAAATTCTTGCTTTCCTCTCCCACATAACATACATAGAAAAAGAATCTCTGATGCTCATATAGGTGTGCATGCTTGTCTTCAGCTGACAATTACAGTTGTGGAGGAGCTTGATCTGAGCGTAGAGAGAATACAGCTCTGCTGGGTAAAGAGAGAGTCCTATCGTCACACAAAAAAAGAAGTCTAAACCATCTCTGAACCAAAATTATGCATTAAAAACCACCACAGGAATTTCATGTAAGTTTCGCCAACTCCACCAACAAAATATTTTTATTTTTACAGAAGCGGTTTATACACCGCTGTCTTACACAAACCAAGGAACAAAAAGGTTTTGTTGTATTTTTTAGAAGGAAAAATAAATAATGAACTATGGAGAGAAAATCTAAGTGTTCTAATAAAGTAAATTTTCAACTCAGGACTTCCTGTGACTAGTAGGCACAACATGAAATGAAATAGAAAAAAACCTATATATTAAAGAGAGGGTTTCAGAATAAATAACGTCAACAACATTCCTATTGCAAAGGCAGATCTTTCTATTAATCATCTTAGAGTCCTACCATGAAAAACTTCTCTACTGTTAAATTTTGCAACAAACAGTGCAAACCAGTAACAGTTTTGGAAAAGCAGATTCTTCTACAGAACAGTTTGAATCATTTAACACTGAAGTCAGCTAGCTTGCCAGAACTAAGCAAAGGTTGCTCAACTGCTTTTTATAATTAGCAATGCTCTGCAAGCATCAACACAATATCAAAAGCTTCATGTCTGCCAATACTGAAGGAAAAAATCTGGCAACTTTCCTTTTGCACATGAAGAAAAAAATTCCTAAGCTTGTCAGGTTTCATTACCACGTTTCATCACAGACCTGCCAAAGGTAGTGCTTTGAGTTTACATACAAATTAGCAATTTAATTAAAACACCACCACAATAATTTGTTTTCCACTTCAATTTCAAATATCATCTCAAGTTAAGAAAAAGTTCAATGAAACAAAGTATTTAGCTTGATTAACGTCAATGCAAATACCTAAATGAAAAGTTTTGCTACCCATACAATTACTCCAGCTACTGAAAACAAGAGGAAAACCTGTTAATATTCTTGGAAAGTCGATCAGGAAACTAATGCTTTCCACTCTTACAGATAACAAATACTTACTAGTCACACATAACACAGAGTTGGACAACTGCACCTTTCCATTCACGTATGCTAGGCCAGTCTTTATATTTGCAGCTGTAGAACAGATTTGGACTAACTGCTGAAAACTCCCATTCTTCAGCAAAATAACTGCAAACAGTTCTTTTAAGCATCTCTGTTCAGCACAGGATAGAGAAGGTATTAAGTCTGCTCTTAGAAAATGGTGTGTTTTTTAAAAGAAGGGCTTTGTAATACTACAGTGTTGATGCCAGCAATATTTGATAAAATTCTTTAAAATCTTTGTTTCAACAAACACTTAATTTACAGTTTCTCAAAGCACGATACATGTTTCCCAGTCTTGTTAAACCTAATGAGGGGATTGAGTGCACCCTCAGTAAGTTTGCAGATGGCACCAAACTGGGTGGGAGTGTCGATCTGCTTGAGGGGAGGAGGGCTCTGCAGAAGGACCTGGACAGGCTGGGTCAATGGGCCAAGGCCAATTGCATGAGGTTCAACAAGGTCAAGTGCCGGGTCCTGCTCTTCAGTCACAACAACCCCATGCAATGCTATAGGCTCGGGGAAGAGTGGCTGGAAAGCTGCCTGTCGGAAAAAGACCTGGGGGTACTGGTTAACAGCTGGATGAATATGAGCCAGCAGTGTGCCCAGGTGGCCAAGGAGGCCAACAGCATCCTGGCTTATATCAGGAATAGTGTGGCCAGCAGGAGTAGGGAAGTGATCGTGCCCCTGGACTCTGCACTGGTGAGGCTGCACCTCAAATACTGTGTTCAGTTTTGGGCCCCTCACTACAAGACAGACGTTGAGGTGCTGGAGCATGTCCAGAGGAGAGCAACCAAGCTGGTGAGGGGTCTGGAGCACAGGTCTGATGAGGAGCGGCTGAGGGAACTGGGGTTGTTTAGTCTGGAGAAGAGGAGGCTGAGAGGAGACCTGATCGCCCTCTACAACTACTTGAAAGGAGGCTGTAGCAAGGAAGGTGCTGGTCTCTTTTCCCAGGTAACAGGTGATAGGACAAGAAGAAATGGCCTCAAGTTGCACCAGGAGAGGTTTAGATTGGACATTAGGAACATTTTCTTTACTGAGAGGGTTATCAAGCACTGGAACGGGCTGCCCAGGGAAGTGGTCGAGTCCCCATCCCTGGAGGTATTTAAAAGACAGGCAGACAAGGTGCTTAGGGACATGGTTTAGTGGTGGGATGGCAGGGTTAGGTTAGGGGGTGGGCTTTG